GAAGGCACGACATGCTCTAGCCCAGCAAGGTTGCCTCGGGGAGAATAGCGTGTGCATACAAGTGTTGAGGGATCAAATGTTTGAACCCTTTGCTAGGTTGCCTTGGGCCTCCTTTTATAGGTTAAGGGGCGACCATAGTGGCAAAACAGTCATTTCAGGGTGATTAGATAGCTAATGATGCTATCAAACCTAACTCTGGCAGTTAGGACAAAGTGCATTAAATGCACTGCTAGGTGCCTTGCTGAGGTTGAAGCTCGGCAAGCCTGCCGCGTCGCTTATCTGCTTCTTCTTGTTAGCGTGGCACGTCCTCCGGACGGGTGTCAATAAAGCTAATCTCTTCCTTACAACGCCGCCACGTGCTTGATAGGATCCAACTGGTTGTCTGATAGCTTGACACCGCACTGATTAATGACTGGGGTGGAGATGAGGTGGAGCGGTGGCATTTTGGTGAAAGCCTGGCGACATGGAGCCTGGCGGGTTCTGGTCTTGGCGCCCCCGGAAACCTTGCCGGGGCGAACTGGTCTCGCTCCTCTGGTACTGCCTTGACCCGGCCAGGCTCTCCTGCCCAGCAAGGGAGGCTTCCCTGAGGTGGTCTCTTGCTGACTTGCTTCTCTTAAGTCTAGTCATGCCCAGCAAAGGGCAGTTTGCCCGGGAGCCCCCGCAAGCCTGTGCACTAGTCAGGGGGAAACAAATACCCATGTTTGTGTATCTGAGGTGGTCTCTTGCTGACTTGCTTCTCTTAAGTCTAGTCATGCCCGGGAGGCCCCGCAAACCTGTGCACTAGTCAGGGGAAACAAATACCTCTATTTATGTACACCGACATCCAAAGTATGAAATAAATCAAAAAATAACACCAGCACTGCGTCCACACACACCTTTGAAGGAGAGATTTGTTCATTGCCGATGTACATGCCCTTTTATTGCGTCAAACATCTTTGAGGGGAAAGGTTTGTTCATTGTGGCTTACACATGCCCTTTTATTACGGATGTGTTTGGATTGTGATCAAAGTGCATCTTACCAAAATTGTGGTCATGAGTAAAGATTGGTCTTTATTTGAATGGTTGTCAATTTTTTAGCATGCCAATAAACTCAAGCTAAGTCTAGTTCATTTTTCTTACCCATGCTGGTCAAATCATGGATAATCAAAACCTCAATCAAAATTTTTGGCTAGCCAATGCTTCTTTTTTATCATATAAACCACCTTGCATTTTATTAACCTGTGGACGCCGGCCACACCACGGATTACATCAACGAAAAAATTCGTAATCCACAGAGTATTCTTTGGTGAGGCAACCTTGGGCATAAACCAAACACACCCTGCGTTCTTCCTTCTCCCCCGGAACCTCTCTCACGAAAGCGCTCATCAACCTCCGTTCCTGGCTGCGTTGTTGCCACCACCGGCATCTCAGCAATGGCGGCAGCAAGAGTGCAGCCTCCGCTCGACCCACGAGCGGCGCCGCCTTCCATGGCGGTTCCCACCTCCAACACTCGAAGCCTACAGGCCACGCCCATCCACACTTCCAGCCCTTCCGTCCGCGCGCTGTTCCTCCGCGCCGTGGACCCCTCCCGTCCTGCCTCCTGGTCCGCCGCCGTCGCCGACCTCCTTGCTTCCGGAGACGCCGTCGCCGCTCTGGCCACCTTTGCCGCCGCTCTCCGCGCTAACCCCGCCGCGCTCCTCCCGGCCCTCCCCCCCGCCTTCCGCGCAGCTGCCGCCGCCACCTCGCTCGCCGCCGGCCGCCAGCTACACCTCATTGCCCTCCGTTCCGGTCTCTTTCCCTCTGATCCCTTCTCCGCCTCCGCTCTTCTCCACATGTACCACCACTGCTGCCGCCCCCTCGACGCCCGCAAGGCGTTCGATGAAATTCCCAGCCCCAACCCCGTCATTATCACAGCCATGTGCTCTGGCTACCTGCGAAACAATCTAGTCTACCCCTCGCTTGCTCTCTTCCGCGACTTGCTCGCATCTGGTTCTGCCATGGCAGTGGACGAGGCGGCTGCACTCGTGGCGTTCTCCTCGTCAGCCCGTGTCCCTGCCCGCGGAATTACCGCTAGCCTTCATGCGCTTATTGTGAAGATTGGCTTGGACGTGGATGCTGGGGTGGTCAACACGATGTTAGACGCTTATGCCAAAGGCGGTGGTCGTGACCTGCCGGCTGCGAGGAAGGTGTTTGATACCATGGAGAAGGATGTCGTGTCCTGGAATACGATGATTGCGCTGTATGCTCAGAATGGGTTGTCGGCGGAGGCCCTCGAGCTGTATGGCAAGATGCTGAATGTTGGTGGAGGCATTAGGTACAATGCTGTGACGTTCTCTGCTGTGTTACTGGCTTGCGCGCATGCTGGGACGATACAGACTGGAAAGCGCATTCATAATCAGGTGGTAAGAATGGGTTTGGAGGAAAATACCTATGTTGGAACTTCTGTAGTTGATATGTACAGCAAGTGCGGAAGAGTGGAAATGGCAAGAAAGGCTTTCGGCAAAATTAAGGAGAAGAATGTCCTTTCATGGTCTGCCATGATTACTGGTTATGGTATGCATGGTCATGGACAAAACGCCCTTGAAGTTTTCAATGAGATGTGCAGATCGGGGCAAAACCCTAACTACATAACTTTTATCTCGGTTTTAGCTGCTTGCAGTCATGCTGGTCTTTTAGATATGGGCCGTTATTGGTACAAAACCATGAAGAATAAGTTTGGGATTGAACCTGGAGTGGAACACTACGGATGCATGGTGGATCTTCTTGGCCGCGCCGGTTGTCTTGATGAGGCTTATGGCCTCATTAAAGAAATGAAGGTTAAACCTGATGCTGCTATCTGGGGAGCTCTTCTTAGTGCATGTCGAGTCCATAAAAATGTTGAGCTGGGAGAAATTTCTGCGAAAAGATTGTTTGAGTTGGATGCAACCAACAGTGGGTACTATGTTCTATTGTCCAATATATATGCAGAAGCTGGAATGTGGAAAGATGTGGAGAGAATGAGAGTTCTGGTTAAAACAAGAGGAATAGAAAAGCCTCCAGGGTATAGCTCAGTTGAATTGAAAGGTAAAACCCATGTGTTTTATGTTGGCGACACGAGTCATCCTCAGCATAAGGAGATCTATTCTTATTTGGGGAAACTGCTTGACATAGCGCAAAAGGCAGGCTATGTACCAAACACGGGTTCTGTTCATCATGATTTGGATGAAGAGGAGAAAGAATCTGCGTTGCGCATCCATAGTGAAAAGCTTGCCGTTGCTTTTGCTCTGATGAACTCTGTCCCGGGTTCAGTAATCCATGTGATAAAGAATCTCCGGGTCTGTACTGATTGCCATGCAGTAATCAAGTTTATTTCAAAGTCCGCTGAACGAGAAATTATCGTTAGAGATTTACAGCGCTTTCATCATTTCAAGGATGGATCATGCTCTTGTGGAGATTATTGGTGATAGGGTCGTACAAGAGGGCTGAGGTCGTGATACCATCTTCGTTGTCCGTCATACCACCGTTGTATTATGTACAGGTCGATTTATTTCCAGGACATATTGTTACACCTCATCTTGATTAGGCTAATGACATTGCCTTGCTGCCCTGAACACTGGGAACTTAGAAGATTTTATAGCTTGGCATAAATCAAAAAGTTACGCCTTTTCTGTAAGATCTGCATACTACAATGAATGGCACAACAAGTTGGTTCAAGGAGACGCTGATCAGATGGACAAGGCAGCTCGAGGCTGAACCCAGTATGGGAGATCTCCTGTGGAACTTACATGTCCCCAGCAAGGTATTTTTTTCCCATGGAGGGCTCTTCACAGTGTGATACCGGGGATGATTGTTCTTGCAGGTAGGCATATCAGGACCTCACCCCAATGTCCCATCTGCTGCTGGGGAGCCAAGGACATAAAGCACCTGATGTTCACGTGCGACAAGCACTGGGACTTGAGGTGTTCATCAAACAAGCAACGCAGATTGATCAACCACGGGTCAGTGATGCTTGAGGAAATTTTGAGGAGTACTGTCAAACATTCAGCGGTTAACGCAGATTGATCAACCACGGGTCAGTGATGCTTGAGGAAATTTTGAGGAGTACTGTCAAACATTCAGCGGTTAACGCAGATTGATCAACCACGGGTCAGTGATGCTTGAGGAAATTTTGAGGAGTACTGTCAAACATTCAGCGGTTATGGGTCGGTACGGTGTACAGGAGACGACCGCTGTAGGGGCATGGTATATCTTGTGGCAGCGACGGAAAGGTGGAACCTGCTCAGTCAACTGTGTTTGCAATTCAGGCTATTAGCGCGACCTATGCAAAAGCTCTGAGCAGTTCACAACCAGTCCTGATACGATGAGGGAAGCCTCCTTGGAATTCTTATAAACTGAATGGGATGCATCATCATACTTTGAAAATGGAACAGGGGCAGTGGCTGCGGTCCTCCGCAATGATCATGGTGAACCGGTTGCTGGGTTCTTGATCACATGTTGGACTCGGCCACGGTGGAGGCGACCACTATCCAGAAGGGCCCAGAACTGGTTGAAAACTTGGGATGTAAACACCATCATCGTCGAGTCTGACTGCCTGGAAGTGATTCAAGCATGCAATGGTTTGTATGGTCAAGGTATTTAAGTGATCATGTTTACCATCATCGTTGAGTCTGACTGCCTGGAAGCGATTCAAGCATGCAATGGTTTGTTTGGTCAAGGTATTTAAGTGATCATGTTTAATTCTAATTCTCCTATGTATTGGGACGATGAACCCCTTAGCTATGTTTGATCGAATGATAAACGTGTACTGCTACCTGATCGACCGAAGTCCATCAAGTGGCTTCCCTAAAAAAAAAACTGTGTCAAAGTGATTCTCTGATTGCTCAAAATATCTCCTTCCAATCGAGGAACAATCCAATCTCATTTTGTTCCTTTTTTTTAAAACAATACACTGATATTGCATTACGACATTGCCTTGTCGCCGGTCACAGCACTGATTACATCATCAGGGTAGCTAGTGAACCACTCTTGAAGTTCGCCATCAGCTAAGTCTGCACCCATAGCAGCCAGCTCATGCGCTGGTTTGTTACATGAACTCGGTGCATGAACAACACTTTGGCCTCAATGAAGGGGTTTCTAAGCTTGAACCTAATATCACTAAACAGGGCACCAAGAGGCGCAAGGTCGTAGGCATTGGAAGAAATGGCTTGCTTCAAAACAAGGCAGTCGGTGTCAGAAATTGCCCGCCAAACTCCTGATCGATCTGCCAAGGACACAGCCTGATATAGGGCGAAAGTTTCAGCGTACACAACATCACTAAAATCGTGTTTGGCACCAGCAGCTGCAAACCAAATATCCAGTGTATCATCATGCAGATGAGTCCCCAACCACTTGCTCTAAGACCCAGTTCTTTTAGCCGATTCTTCTAGAATTTTAAGAATCGAACCTCCTTCCAGCTTCTCACGGAATCTTAAACCCATATTTTTTTTTTTACAATTCTAGCTAGTTAGGATTGGGGAGGTGCGATTCTCAAGGTTCTGCGAGAATCAGCCAAAAAAAATGGGCCCTAGACCGCTCTGAAAACGGCGCGTCGGTATTGATCTTCACCATATGTCTCAGTGGATTCTCCCATCTACACTGCTGCACGACCGGTACAGTGGGTTTTGGCCCTAGACTCCCTCCATTCTTCAGTGTATCGAAAAGCTTCAACCTCAACTCTTCTTTCTCCATGATTGCCTCTGTTGCGTTCCGTCCACCAGCACCAAAGGAAGGCTATACACTGCAGCTTATTCCGCTCCTCCGGTAGGGAGAAGATTACTTGCAAAAACTCTTTGGCTGAGACACAAAAACCCTTTTGCATTCTAGGAGCCTGATCCTGACATCCTCTAGGAGCAGAGCCTGACATCGCTGCTTGACATTTCGTTCCATTTTTAGTCTGAAATGTGAATGATATTTCATTAGTAAATGCCATAGTGGGTGGAGGGGATACGTATTTGTTGTTCTGGTCCAGACAAATCATATGTACTTATTATGACACATAATGAATTTTGACTCAATTGGTTCAAACAAAAAAACAACATAGACTGGATAGTGCATGAACTGTTGTGCGAGTTCTCATGTAATCTTGTTCCATCATGGCTCGAATCTTCCAGTGACCGGATCGATCAGCATGATCTGTCTAACAGAATGTACACCATCTGATCGCACAAAAGGTGGAGTAGCATCTCTCCCTACACATGGACGTACGTCCATGGATGCATAAAATTCATCAAACAGACATCAAGAGCAGGGCGTCAAAACTGCACAACACTTGCATAAGAGTCCATTCCACTCAATTTTCGCAGCATGGACCTGCTGCCCAATGTTGGATAACATCATCGCTTGAAAATGCACGCCTACCCAAGGGAAATTCTTTTTTTCAATTATATAGTAGGAGTACATAACAGTTCAAATTTCCCAACATATCAAATTACAGTCTGCCGATTGTTCTACGCATGGGAGGGGGCGGTGATCAATACTTAATTTCATGATCTCGCCCTTTTAAGGTCCCTCTCGCCGTGATCATAACTCCTGTGGTCATACACATCCTTCCTCTTCCGGTCGTCGAGCTCAGTCACGGTGGAAAGGTACTCTTGACTGTCCATGGAGAGCTCGCCCTCCTCGGCGTTCTCTGCCGTCCGAGTACCGTTCTGGTGCGGGGGCTGGGGCCAGCTCTGCCTTCTGTCGTGTTTCTTCTCATCCTTGACAGCCATCTCCACTCCATGCTCCAGCTCCCTCTCAATCAGGTCATCATCATCCATGATGTCAACCTTTCTACCGGCATCACCTTTTGATTTCCTCCGTTTCTCAAGCGCAGCTTTCACTTTATCCTTGTCTATCTTTTTCATTGCATCCATTGAGGATGACATATTGGGGCCTTCATTGCTGCTGGCAATACCATCCTTTGCTTCCACCTTGGGTATCCTCTGGTTTGAGTTTTGCTTCTCAGGGAGGCCTACCATGCTCGACTGTTTAGGTGCTTGATGATTTCCATGAGCATGACGCTCGTCAGCAGCTCCAGGAGCCTTCCCCACAGCACGTGGATTAACCACACTTGCAGAACTGCATTCGGTATCATTCCCTTGGGACGGTGGTGGCACGACACGGTTTTGCTCATAGAGCTCCAACATTTGGTTGCTGGCCTCTGAAAAGAATAAAAATCAAAATTAATATAGGCACGGGTGCTTGGTGTGTGTGTGTTACTGGAATACTTCACAAGAAAGAGCATCAAAAGTAACAGTGGCAGAGAAAGGAGCATCACTTATAGTAATAATGGATATAATTAACAGAAAGTAGTGCTTACTAGCATTGCAAAATCACCAAAATGGAAGTGTCATCCTCATGTTAGATTGTATTTTTTTTTCATTTACATCTCTTTGCGATGCTACTAATAAGCTAATATATGTATAACAAAAGTGATAAGGTCTACCAATACACTAAATAATAGACAAACCCAAATCTTTCAGGTTCCACACGAGAGGCCGGGTTCACATGGTATGCTCCTGACATGACATTCCCTAGCATATCCCAGAACACTAATAATTATAAGATTCCCTGAGCACATCAAGCAACAGCATGTGTCTTGCTTGACCTAGGCAACCTACAGTTATCAGTTTTGAACCAATGATGAATTTTGATAATCCAATCCACAGTCTCCTAGAAAGTTAAAGCATGTCAACAGCTGCTGCTACCTGCGAGGATGTGAAATACTATTCTTGGGAGATTGAATAGTACAATAGTGCAAACATGCACTACTGAATTAAATCTAGAGACCAACCTTCCAACTGCCGCGGCGTTACATCAAACTCTTGCCACCAGACCTTCTCACCATCTGATGGAAGCTTGACTTTGAGGAACTTCGCAGCAAGGAAAATTGCGCCGGCTGTAATATGATTGGGTTTAAATTGGAGACAAAGCGAAGTACGTAGCCTGTACACCCCTTTAAGGCGCAGTAATTAAATAGGCATAATTGGGGGTTACTATGTTTGTAAGGATAAGTGTAATTTCAGCATACCCATCATTGACAAAATTCCAAGCAACTTGAGCAAGCGCATTTTGAGCAACCTTGAATTTTTTTATTGCTTCGACCAAGGGCTTGTACGGGTGGTGCACATTCATGTCAAAACCAAGTGTTATAAGCACAGCACGCTCCCCGATTAAAATAAGCTCCTTCTGTTGTTCATAAACCTCCTGCACCAAACAGCACAAAAATATCCTCAACAGCCATTCTTGTCATAGGAATCAGGGGATAAAATATAATGAATGTAAAGATTTTTTTTCTTTTCAGATTGGCAGAATGTAAAGATTTGCAGATTGGCGGGACATAATATAAGAGCATTTTTGACACTATATATTATGGCACGGAGGGAGTATAAGTGTGGGGAAACAAGGATAGCAACCAGCAACTACATAAGAAATATCAAGACAATAATCGCAATTAAATATGTCACCTTTTGCTTAATTCGAGCAACTGCGGCAGGATCCTTCTTGTGGATGATCTCATAAGAAATTAGTACGACATCCTTAAGTGGTCTGGGAGTTTCTTCAACTTTGCCTGCCAAGAACATGCAAACTGTGGCTATTGTCTGTAGGTTACAACGAACATACATTGAGAACTTACAACGAGCAGCAAGATCTATGCTGTAGGCTATACACACAGCAAAAAAAAAGACTGCATATCTCTTCTGCAAAGCAAAACAAAATTCACCATATCACGGAATCCAATAAAATATCATGAAATTAGTAGGGTGTACATAGACATATTTTAGAGTTTAGATTCACTTATTTTGCTACCTATGTAGTCCATATTGGAATCTCTCAAAAGGCTTATATTAAGGAACGGAGGGAATATGATTTACAAGTTTCAGTCGACTATTTTCTTTGTCTTTCACAAACTGGTGGCAAGCATTCATGATTGAACCCATATTAGAATACTGCCTACCATTCACATGTAAAGTCGAAAATATATTGTCCGACAGCAAACATGTACAAGCACATACAAATTTCAGTAAGACTTACCAGTCTATCATTTTTGGCATGAGATTGACGAAGGAAAAAACGATGACAGAATACTATAGCTGTAGCAATTGTCACTTGAGGCCTACATTTTAAAGCCATTCACCATAAGGAAAACATATAATATATAAAACTATCAACCATGCCAAAGAGCATAATTTATGCAGTAACTGATATACAGGGATATTTGGCGATTCATAAATATTCACGGTGCAAGTACTTGAAGGACACAAAAGCATAAATATATATACTAAACAGAGTTTGATCTTTTCTGTTCTACCCAAGCATTTTGTCTCTAAAGGGTGCAACCTAGGGTACAGAATGTAGTCATGTACAACTAGAGTACAACGCTGTCATCAACAGAATGCAACCGTGTATGCATTAGATGTCCACTAGACTTTCCTTCGACTTGCAAAATAAAATAAGCATAAAGCAATCATGAAGGGTTTCGAATACTACGAGCGGGCAAATGAGAAAGAAACAAATGCTGCTTAAAAGAAATCAAGCTATCAGAAAATGACATAATGCTATCAAACATGAAAACAATAGGTATGATTCCATAATGCTATCAAACAGCTATTCTATTTCCCAGAAAAACAAGTAATGACAATATACTCTTACACTTTAAGTCTCATCCCAAAATCTTGAAGAAAGGTGCAGTATGACTTGCGAAGGTAAGACTCCTTCAGATCAATGCCATCTTTCCTTGAAAGGGAATTCTCCTCGATTTCTTTTCTACTAAAATACCATGAACCACCAAGGTTGCCACTTTCCACGTGTCTACCATAGGGAGTTCTGTAAGGGCTGTTTTCTACAATTCCATGATGTGAAGAGTCACTTGTCTGCATGATATCCATGTGTGATTTTCCCCTTTTCTTCTAAAGAACCTGACAAAGTGAGATATATAATGTCACCTCTGCAAACTTAACATCGTAAGCATGCATAAAAGTAAGGGGCCGCAGGTATGCGCTTACAAATAAATGCATATACATTATTCACAATGTTATAAATCTAAAAGAAGCATTTTCCATGGACAAGATAACTTGGCATGCAAAGGATTCCGGATGAGTCCGAGATTATAACGATGAAGGGAAATAGGCAAATGTCCATATAGCTCTGAATCTTTGATGAACTGCCTGCCCATCATGGAAGCCAGGAATGTGTGACACATGGATGATAACATAACAAATAAAAGGGTTTTCTCAAATACAACATGTCAATGTATGCACCTCCATTGACAAGGATAACGAGTTAACAACATGCAGATCATTCATGAAACAGTTAGCCAGCACCAACACAAACCTCACTCCACCTTGACATAGGAGTAACGCAGTTCACCAAACAAAGCTGGACATTTTTCAAGCAATCGTTGAAATACTCTAAAACACGATATATATATTTTTTTTTTGAAAGATCCAGCAAAATGCTGGCTTGATTCGATTTAGCAGGAAGCAGCGGAAGAACAACATGATAAAGATCCGAAGATCAAAGAAAAAAGAAAACGACAGCCCTATTAGCTGCCGAGCTACCATCACAGCCAACACGACTACAAAGCAAAAAGGGCCTGTCCTAGGCTAAGCGTCACCGCCGCGTCACTTGACCAACGCCGGTATCCTCCGAAGACAGCAGCAGCTCCAACTAAGACTTTCTTTGTCAACGCACCATCCACCCTTGAAGCAGAGTGCGGGCAGATGGCGGAACTCGGTCGGTCCCAGAAAAAGCTTCGTCTCGGACTTATCAGCGATGGCGTACATTGCGCCTGGAGCTTCACCAAAAACAGTGGCGAGCACCGGAGGAGCGCCACATAGAACCTCCAAGCAGTGTCTCAAAAACGTGATGCTCCCAACAGAGGAACGACGTCGGAGACGCCGTCATCACGCCGATCCAACCGGACCTAGGCTTTCGCCCGGAGACACTACCAACCAAGCTCGAGGAAGATGCCGACACACCTCGGTGGCGCCTCCAAGGAGGAAAATGACACCCTCAGGCGCCATCGGCACCGGCTCTTGTTGTGCGGGACTTTCGTCCGTATCGTCGCACACCTCCGCTCAAGCCCTACGGAACTCGTCCATGTCGTCTCACACCGCCGCCGCCGCAGCACCTTGTTGTTGAAGCCGTGAAGGCATGGTCCACCTCCCCGCGGCGAGCATGCAGAGGCCAGATCGGGCCCCGCATCCCGCATCTACCACGGCTGGAGCCTCCCTGCTCCAGCAAGCGCAGCCCTCCCAGATCCAGCGCGGCCCATCAGTGTCGTCGACGCCCTCCACTCGCCGCCCGGTGCAGTGCCGACGCCGCCCTCCGCGATGCCCACCTCCGCGCCAGGCCAGGAGCAGCACGGGGCGGAACTCGGGCCCTCGAGGAGGCAGCGCGCCAGATCCACGCCACTGCCACCGTCGGACCGCTGCCCAGCCCTACGCCGGCCAGATCCGCACCGGCCCTCATCCCGCGCCCTCCTCCTCCTTTACCGCAACCCCTCTCGGCGCCCTCTTCCTCCACCTCGCCATCTCCCGGGCGCCGCACCAGATCCGCTCGCATGGACGCGCCGCTCGACGCCGCAAGCCGCGGAAACAGCCGCCCATCGCCCGACGAAGCCTCCCCCTGCAGCCAACCGTAGAGCGCCTCCGACCCGAGGAGATCCGCCGTCGGGCCGCGCCCCGCCGCGAAGCCGGCCGTCCCGCGCCGTCCTGGCGCCTCGCGGGGAGGGTTAGGGCCCCGCCGCCACCGACGTACGCGCGGGCTTTGCCCGGCGCCGTCCCCTGGCGGCGGCGAGGGAGGGGGGCGGGGGTGGAGGGGGGCTGCGGCGGCGGGCTGGGGTTTTCGCCCGGCCGCTCGCAGGAGCGGACGAGCACGAGGCCGATATTGCAAGTGGCCACCATGAATTCCTCTTGAAATTTAGCTACATCTAATCCTCCGGTCACAAAAAACACACATAATGACCCCAAAACTGAGCACGAGGTTACGATTTTATCATTTTAATAAGCCCGTCATGATTAAAGCGAGTAAATTTAGCTCCAGCAACCACAAACCAAATCGCATAGCATAGTAATAATCTAGGAAGTGTGCTTTCGAGCATTGGAGCTCTCAATTAGCAGGCACAATCACAAACCGAGAGCCGCAGAAGCAATTTGAACAAGAAAAAGAAGAAGATCCGGAAGATAAACAAATCAGATCAGATCAGAACCTGAGAGATCAAGACGTAATCTAGCACGGGGACCGACCGGGCGGGTGTCACGGGGCGGGATAGTCGTCGCGTGCGGAGAGCTGCGGCCAGCAACGGCGATGCGGCGTAGAGGGGGGCGTGATGGCGAGGCGACGGAGGCGACGGCGACGGCGGTGGCGGAGGTATCGGGGATTGGGGAGCCTCCGAGGCTGGCTTGGACCGAACCCTGGTTAGCCTGTTTTGAGATTGAGCGTGCAGCGTGCACCTGGATACGCCGTCGGATCGGCCGAGCGTGGGGGCTACTGAACCGTCGGATCACGTTCCGGCTCCCGATTTGCCCCGCCATGAGTCAAAGGAAGAGAACAATCATCCTCCTTGCTCATGGAGTACTTTGGGGCTGTTTTGGTTGCCACCCTGATTTAAAAATATCTACACTCGGATTTATCAAATCCGACCCTCAAATGCTCGCGTACGTGTTTGGACGCATTCATGGATACTGACGGGTCAAGCCTTAAATAATGTTTGGACGCATTCATGGATACTGACGGGTCAAGCCTTAAATAATGTATTCCACATCCGGATACTTCAAATTAGAAATCTCAAATCCACATTATTACATGCAACACAGTGATTTTTAAGCGGAGCTCATCCGGTCGTCGTGCTCATGTCCGGCGGTCGGCTGCGCTCCCTAGACTGTTGGTCCGGTCGCCAACATGGTAGATCAGGGCATGGGACACGAGCTGGCTCACGGGACTCAAGGCGCCGCCGTCTCATGCCCTACTCTTCTTCATCGGAGCCCGAAACCCGGTTGGTGTCGGTGGACATCAAACCGATGATGGATCTGTCCTGGGACGAGCCGGTGACATCCACCACGACGCGGTTGTGACGCTCGGACTGCTGCAACATAAGGGGCATCGGAGAGTGCGACTCCGCCTCGCCAACATCCAACGACACGAGGGTCGCCGCCGCCTCCCGCGCCCGTTGCCTCGCACGGCGGACACACTGTGTCATATTTTCGTTGCATGATGCTCATGGTGTGTCCCGTTGCTTGGCGTGCCAACGAACGGGTTACGCGTCCGAACGCGCATTCAAACGCCAGACGGGCCGCACCGCCTCCGGTGAGGCAGCGACGGCACACCTAGCGTCGGATCCGTGCGTCATTTGGGCGGACACAATGGATTCCCGATGGAAGGAGTCCGAGCGTTGCCTCGCACAGGCCTCCTCCCGGGAGCGATGGAGCACAAGTCAAATAGCCATCTCCTCCTCGAGGTCGCGTGGGATGAGCTCGGGGTCGACGGATCTGGAGGTGAAGGACTCAGATCCGCTGCCCGCCATGCCCGAGACGGTCAGAGACCGCCGGAGGTGAGCTTGGATGGAAGAGGGGAGTGGAGGGGAATGGAGTGAAGTGGCTAGAGTTTGGTCCGGCAAGCGAATGGGAGGAATATATATGGGGTCGGATGGGCCAGCGTGGGCCGGGTCCGGCGTGGCGGGCACGCCCGGGCGTCCCATATCCGCTCCATATTTGGGTTGGATATAAGGGGTGTCGGTTGATAGCTTGCAAGTGCACAGAGTTTAGTTGTAGATTTTCTGAAATAAGAATATCAATCCCACATGGAGCACATGAATCAGTCTTTAGCCCTTTGCAAAGTACAAATGATGTGCCTATAAATTGTAAGCGATCCAGAATAGTAATAATAATAAGGTTGTAATGTAAAGGTGAATAAATAGAAATAGATGACAAATAAAATTACTAGACTCAAGACAAATGATTAAAAGAGTTCCGAGGGGTCCGGAATCCCCACCGGTGTGCATCTATAGCGATGCCTAAACACAAAGCTATTTCAGATTCCTAAGCCACTTTACATGTTTTTATTTGTGGGCGGAGCCGGTACAAGTATGTTTATACTCGTGTTATCTCCATATCACATACGCCACCACTGTTCTTCTTCACTCCGGTTATCAAATGGTGATTAAGGGGAAAGAGGTCCCCGTGGACGCAACCAAAGTGGTCTCCGTTCTACCCCCTATTGCAACTATCCGCTGCGAAGGGAGAAGGGACATGTCACGTCACCCAACACCACAACCACACAATTAGCCAACAGTAATAACCTTCCATCCAAAATCAACATACATTGGATGGTCGACTCCACCCAACGTCAAGAAGATTATCAACATAAACATGCAAAGTGGATATTAAATCCTAATAGCAAACATCCTATTACACACTAGGGTTCATCCATACCCCGTGAACAACAGGTCTACTCACACATGGGAACAACAATCATCATGGTAATTGCAATGAAATACATGGATGAATGGTTCAAACGGTGCACCAAAGGATCCACTAGGGTTCTTGATGTTACAGATGACAAGAACATGGATGATGATGAAGATGGCGATGATGACTTCGTTCCCCCTTGTGATGAGAGAGATCCCCTCCTTCTCCTCATTTCTCTTCTCACCGGATGGGCTCTGGCGGCTAGGGTTTTGCCTTCTAGACGAGTTTCTAGAGTCTCCGTACGTCTGATCCACGATCCACTTCAACGTGGTGAAAATAGCTGATCTCGCAGAGGCGGCAGTGCACCAAATGACCTCTCATGCGAGTGCGCACGGTCGCATGGAACACCATCATTCGCTCTGGAAGCGCAGCGACGATGGTTTCTTCAGCCTCCTTGCTTGATTCTTTTATGGAAAGTG